TATTTTTTTTAAAATAACAAAATCATCATTTTCTAACAATAATTAATCTATACTACATAATAATTAATCATCATTTTCAATATACACCCCTTATATAATATATACCAATTTAAAAGTAAAAAAAAAAATTGTATAAAATTAAATAAAAACAAATACTCGCGCGGTTGCGCGGGTTGAGATCTAGTTATATCTAAAGTATAAAATTTTACCCTCTCACTGATTTGTGACCCTATGTGTTGTTTACAACTTGGACTTATTGGTGAAGTACGAACTCATAATGCCGACAAGTAAGAATCAAATAATGGACAATGGTCAAGTACATATTACCAACACATGGCGCTAGTAAGCCTAGTATAGATACTTACGTGTTTTTCTTCTAGCCTTTTGTACATTTAAAGTCTTTGCTAGACGACAAACAACAGCAGAATATTACTTCAAAACTAAATTTTGTGACCAAAAACGAAGCATACTCATATGTCAAACGGAGTTACAGACGATGTATGACAGAGTAAGGCTGATATGAGGACTCAAGTCGAGTTTTCGTGTATGCCAATAAAAATTAATGGGCTTGATCACTGTGTTTTCAACCCATGTCCATTCCAATATCCGAATGTCTTTAGAACGTCCGAACAGGCCTGGAACCACATGTACAAATTCATTTCCTAATACGAAGCCATGTCCATTCCAATATCCGAATGTCTTTACAACTCAGTTCCCGAAGGTCTGTTGTAGAGTCTTGCATCTCTTGAAGAGGTTGGATATGAAGGAACACAACGAGAGAAAGAAGTGGTGGCATTCATGTTAAGAAGTGCAAACTGTTTGAAAAAGTACACTACAAGAAAAGAGGCTATTTCTGACGGACTTTCTGACCGAATCTTTTGTCGTCAGAAATTATTGACGGATTTCTAACGGGTTTTCAAAATGGTCAGAAATTTCTGACGGACCGACATTTGTCAAAAAACCGTCAGAAATTTCTGACCGAATTTTGTCGATACGATAACCGTTAGAAATTTCTGACCGATTTTTGACGAATTTTTAACCGTAATATTGATGTTCGAAATCGGTCAGAAATTGGTCAGAAATCGGTCAAAATTGTCTTTTATATTTCTCTGACTGCAACTCGTCTCTTTCACATTTTTCACTCTAAATCCGAAAATTCTATTACACAGAATGTCTTCCTCCAATCAAAGCGAATATTTCAGGTCTTGGATGGATCAAAATCATCAAGATCCTTCAACTGGGCTTCTTACAGAGGAATTTGCACAAGGTCTTCAACAATTCATGTCATTTGCCTCAAATCAAACAAGGACTTAGGAAACGGGTAAGATGTATTGTCCTTGTCCAATTTGTCAGAATCGTAGATTCCGTTCTGTTGATGGTGTATGGAAGCACTTATATAGTCGAGGATTTATGGTGGGTTATAAAGTTTGGTATTCTCATGGCGAAACTGATTTGATGGTGAATTTTGGTAGTACGAGTGTAGAACATAGAATGGATGAAGTAGAAGAACAACAACGTGGTTTAGATGAACATATAGGTATGGTTCAAATGGTTGAAGATAGACAAAGAGTGGAGGAACCAAACTATGAAGCACAAAATTTTTTTGATATGTTAAATGCAGCAAAGAGTCCGTTATATGATGGTTGTAGAGATGGTATTTCGCCTCTGTCATGTGCAACTAGGATGATGTCTATTAAAACAGATTATAACTTAAGCGAAGACTGCGTTGATGCGATGGCTGATTTTGTGAAAGATATATTGCCTGAAGATAATCTTTCACCAGCTACATATTATGAGATACAGAAATTGGTTTCTGGATTGGGTTTGCCCTATCAAATGATAGATGTTTGCATCGACAACTGTATGCTATACTGGAGAAGGGATGTTGATCGTACTAGTTGTCGATTCTGTCGCAAACCACGGTTTCAAGAAACAAGGGGAAAAACTAAAATTCCGTATAAGAGAATGTGGTACTTGCCAATTACAGACCGTTTGAAGAGGTTATACCAATCTGAACGTACAGCAGAAGCTATGAGATGGCATGGTGAACACGTATCAGAAGGAGAAATTTCTCATCCACCAGATGCGAAAGCATGGAAACATTTTCAGTCAATGTATCCTGCGTTTGCATTTGAGAAAAGAAATGTTTACCTTGGTTTAAGTACTGATGGATTCAGCCCGTTTGGAAGTCATGGGAGACAATATTCTCTTTGGCCGGTTATTGTAACTCCATATAATTTGCCTCCATCTTTGTGCATGAAACGAGAGTTTCTCTTTCTCACAATTCTAGTTCCTGGCCCTAACCATCCTAGAAGAGCTCTTGATGTGTTTTTGCAGCCACTGATTTATGAGGGATGAATATCCTTATTATACCGAAGACCAGCTTTCCGAACTTAAGGAAAAAGAGTTCATTAACTGGTTCAGATTCTATGTAAGATTTCTCAGCCTCTAGCCTATTACTTATGAATCACCATATTTTTGCACATTGTGCATAACTTACAATTAAAATATAACTATTATTCAGGTCAGATTTCTTTTGGAAACAAAACCGAAAGTTGACCCATGGCTTGAGGAGTTGGCTACTGGTCCTAAATCTGTTGCTGTATCCTACCCAATGTACTGCACGCGTGGATATGCTTTTAAGTGTTTCCGCGAAAACAATACACAATCAACTGCAAATTATGGTATATCAGCTACATCTGGGGAAGTAATTTACTACGGTATCTTGCGTGAGATATTGGAGATTCACTATCCTGGGATACTTAATTTAAGGTGTGTTGCCTTCGCTGCTGATTGGTACAATCCGACCGTTGGATATGGTGTCCGGAAAGATGAATTTGGAGTAACATCAGTTCATTCCAGAAGAAGACTTCCAAACTATGATCCATTCATTCTAGCTTCACAAGCAGATCAAGTTGCTTACTTTCGTTATCCTCGAGTGAGGAATAAACAAGACCCTTGGATCGCCGTGATACCTATTACGCCAAGGGGTAAAGTGCAAGGAGTTTCTGATAAAGCCGCGATGCAACAATCATCGAGCAATATTATAGGCGATCTTTATGTTCACGACTCTACTGAAATCGATCTTGTTGTTGATTTTACCGGTATCGGCGACAACGATGTATTCTCTGATTCGGATCCAGAGAGAGGAGAATTCAACAATGACTTTCATTCAGCTTCTTCGGGATATTCATCTGATTCGGATTAATTTCTCATCGTATGTAATATTTTGAAAACATATATTTGAAATGTTTTAAAAAAAAATAATTTTAGGGCCAAAAATATTTTTATGAGAGTTAAACAAAGCAAATTTTTTTTTTCATATAATTTATGTAATATTTTGAAAACATATATTTGAAATATATTTTTAAAAAATAATTGTAATGCCAAAAAATATTTTAATGAGAGTTAACAAGGCAAATTTTGTTTAAAAAAAAAAAAACACTTCTGACGGGCTTCTTACCATATTTGCGGTCAGAAATTTTTTGTATATAGTAAAACACTTTAACCCTAATTTTCCTTGTCTCCTCCCCTTCTGAAACCTGCGCCGATTTCCAAGTCTCTCTCTCACTCTGAACCGACGTCTCTCTGCTTCCTCTCCGCCAGCTCTCCACCTCTCTCTCTCGCCGGCTCTCTGCCTCTCCACCTCTCTCTCTCTCCGATACCGACCATTTTCCATCGCCCTCTCTCTCTCGCCGGCTCTCCACATCTATCTCTCGCCGGCTCTCTGCCTCTCTGCGTCTCTCTCTCTCTCTGATACCGACCAGTGTCCATTGCCCTCTCTCTCCGACGATGTAAGAACTCGACCCTCTCTCTCTGATTTTTTTTGCTTTTGTGAATGAATTTAGGCTTATGATAGTTTGATAATCTCTGGTTAATGTTTGTTTGCGTGGTATTGTATTAGGTTTATGATAGGTAAATCTATGGATTTAGGCTTATGATAGTTTGATAATCTTGGTTAATGTTTGCTTATTTAGGTTATTAAATAACCTTTTCTGTTTAGATCACATGTAACTTTGAGTTTGAATTTGTTATTGAATACTTTCTATGTTTTTTTATTTCAGGTCTTATGCCGATTTTCGTGCTGCTTCTGCCCCATCCGCTACATCTCCTGAAATTGGTTCTGCTTCAACGCAACAAACCAGTGTCCCCCCGCCACAACCATCAGCTTCAGCATATGTCATCCAAGATAGGTTACTCAACGAGCTGTTGTTGGCACCAGGACGAGAGCGGATTCCGAAGCTGAGCCCAATTGATGAACCAAACACTTTTTGGTAAACTCTTTTACTTAATATGATCAATTATATATTACAATATTAATGATAATTTTTTTTTTCAGGTTTAGGAAAAGGAACAGGAATGCTATTTGCAAATCCATTTTGAAGTGCTTTCATACCCTCCTTGAGGTGCCGTATCCGACTTATGCCCATGTTCCAATAGAAACAAAGAGGATGTGGCTTCGTTCATTTGCGGTGAGATGTCTTTTTCATTTATAATCCGACCTTGTTATTTATAATTGGATTTTTTTATTTATAATTGAATTTTATTATTTATAATTTTGTTTCAATTGTTTGTTTATTGCAGCAAGACTGGAATTGGGATCCCGCTCACACTGAAGAAGTGCGGACAGCCTTTAATGTGCAGGCTAACAAGCAGTACAAGAGCAACATGACTTTTTGGAAGAAAAAGTGGAAGCTGAAGAAGGATAAGCCCACAGGTCTGGATGAAAATGTGTGGAATGGATTGAAAGCGTATTGGCAACTAGATGAGACTGCATCTATCGCACAAACCAATTCTCAGAATAGGAAAAGTCAGCGTGGTGGGAAAGGTGTGTCCACACATAATTGCGGTGCAAAGACGAGAGAGGAACGCGAGATTGAAATGGTAAGCTTTTTACTAATATTTATGATTTCCTTACTTAAGCTCTAACATTGAATTGACAATTTCTATGATGCTAGACTGCTGAAAATGGTGGTGTGCCACCATCATGGTTAGATTTGATGGAGGATATGCACACCAATAAGCAGACCGGTGAGGTGCAAGATCCTGTTGCTAGAGAGTTGTTGGACACTTTGAAGAAGATGAAAGCAGATAAAGAAGCACAACTCCAACAGTCTCAGATGTGTGTAGTTGAAGGATCTACAGCTTCAAACGTGATGTCCCGCGAAGAGATTAACCAGATGGTTCTTGAGGTATTTTATTGCAGCAAACATTCTTTGATAGTCCTCTTATTATCTTCTTTCTATTATTATTAAATTTGTCTTTGGTGTTTGTAGAATGTCCCAGTTAAGAAAGGTCGTCGCTATGGTTTAGGCCGTGTTTCAGAGGGGATCTCCTCTAGTAGCCAAGCAACCTTTTCTTCCTCGGGAATTATGAATGTGATGGAACAGCTCAAGACGGATCTCGATGAAGAGCGGACAAAGCGACGGGCTTTGGAGGCAGAACTTCGGGCCGTCAGTGATTTCATCTCTCGGGTTTATCCGGAAGATTTCTCAGCTTCACAAGCCTTCTCAGCTTCACAGCCCGAGTAATGTATTTCAAAATCTTATGTTTCTTATGTTTTTTGAACACTTTTATGTATTATTAACTCGGTTATGTTTTCTTAAGACAATGTAAACTCTGTTTTAATTATCTAAACTTTTATGTATTGAAATTTGCTTACTTATCTTATATTAGTTTCATATAATATAATACAAAAAAGATTTTATTTTTTAAACAATAGTATTAAATTTCTGACGGAAGAATTCGTCAGAAAATTCTGACGGTTTGGTCGTCAAAACTTTCTGACCGCCATGGTGGTCAAAATATTATGACGGCTAAATCCGTCAAAAAATTTTGACGCCTCCTCCGTCAGAAATTTGTGACGGGTTGTCCGTCAAAAGTTTCTGACAGTCGTGTCGGTCAGAAAAATTTGACGGTTTGTCCGTTGGAAATTTCTGACGGCCACTCGGTCAGAAATTTCTGACCAAAAAAATTCGGTCAGAAATCGGTTGGAAATTTTAACCGATTTCTGACCGTTTAGAAATTTCTGACGAAATAGAAATGACGGTCGTTTCCGTCGAAAATCGGTCAAAACAGACCATTTCTAACCGTTTTCTAACAGATTTGCCCGTCAGAAACGACTCTTATTCTTGTAGTGGTAACATTCTCCTCTAATTCCTTATACCCTTACAAGAAAAAACTTGAGATCAGTAGCGGCCCTGATAGGAAACTATACAAGCACTAGCTTCCAACCATACTTATTTAAGTAAATTATCGGCCATATGTTTCCAAAAGTTTTTGTAGGTTAGTTTGTTTAGTCTCTGAAAAGAAAATAAATTTATGATCTTTCACCAAATAAGTATTTAGTTTTGAGAGAATACAAGATCTCTAATCATGTTTAACTAACAATCTATCATTGTTGTTAGGTTAATCATGTGTATTAGTGAGTATCCATTTTAGATTCATGGAATAAGTTGATAAGGATGATCAAGTGTAGATCTAAGGTGTTTAGTGTTAGATCTAGGTGTTTCCTTGTTAGTTGAATGATTTTAATGCTTGATTATTGTTGGCCTCTTTTTTTTTTTTTTTTTTTTTTTTTTGTCGGCCTCCCATTTGCACTAGACCAAGTGGTGACCAGTCAAGTCGATTCTCCAAGGAGAAACTCCGTCTGGCCGGGTCTGATCTATATGGGAAAATGAAAAACCTCTACTCCTTGCTTCCTTAGCCAATGCATCCGCTCGTCCATTTCTATCCCGTGGGATATGAGACAGACTCACATCCACGAAATCCTCCCATAGTCGCTGAAACATCTCGATCTCCGTCGCGAAAGCCGGCCAGTCCTCCGGTCTAATAGACATGTCCACTAGATCCGAACAGTCCGTCTCGATCCGTATCGAAGTCATCCTCAAATCTCTCATACATGAGACTGCCCACAGTAGGCCTTCCATCTCAGCATGCAGAGCTGATAGGCTCCTCCTACACGCCCGTAGTCCGATCCATTCAGAACCCGTTTGATCCTTAAGACTCCACCCTAAGCCACTTACACTACCATTATCGATCCATGATGCATCAATTTGGCATGTAGGGATTTGGGGGATCGTAGGGGCCTCCGAACTATAAGTTACCTCATGATACTCATGGTCCTCAATTACTTCGTCCTTCTCGTTTGCCTTCCTCCAACATTCTGCCTCAAGAGACGCATGTTGGAGAGTGTCCATAGGAGATACCTCTTTCCCATTAAAGAGTTTGTCGTTCCTTGCCTTCCAAATGTACCAGCAGATCCATGGGAATGTGTCGAATTGTGGACTCTGAGGAGCCACTTCTTTTCGCTTCCAAAACAGAAAGTTCAAGTTTTGGTAGATAGATATACTCGGGAAGTCACCCAGAATGAACGGATAGTCCGATAAAGCCCAGACCTGCATTGCAGGAGGACACTCAAAAAGGAGGTGGTTAATCGACTCCACTGGGCCAGCACATATAGGACAACTCCTATCGGTGCCCAAGTGTCTATAAGTTAGCCTCTCTGCTGTCGGCACACAGCCCGAAATAGCTTGCCACAAAAAGTGTTTCATCTTACTTGGAGCCTTTAACTTCCATACATGACTCTTGAGGCCTTTGACACTTGGTTCGAGAACCATATCATGTATAAGGCTCGTCTTGCTCAATTGAAGTAAGTTATACCCGGTTTTTACTGAATAAACTCCTGTCTTTGTGTGATTCCAAACATATCCATCTAGAGCTGAAGAGCGGGAGGGTCTAATCCCAAGTATCAGCGGAATATCATCTGGCTGAAAGAATTCCTGTAAAAGTTGGGTATCCCACTCCTTGGTATCATTCCTAATAAAGGCCTGAACAGGGAGTTGGGGAAGTCTGTAAACAATGTGGTCGGCAGGTTTAGGTGGTCGGGCCACTGAGTCAGGAACCCAAGGATCGGTCCAAACCCGCGTATCGCGGCCCATTCAGATTGTTCTCCGTAACCCCAACATGAGTAAAGGTCTCGCTGCCATGATACTGCGCCAACCATATGAAGGTGAGTATGTCCGTCGCTCCTCCAAGGGGGAAGTATTGTTTTAATATCTTCCTCTTAAGGTACGTGCCAGTAAAGAATTTGGGTACTGGATCAAACGCCATAATTGTTTTGCAAGAAGTGCTATGTTGAAGTCATGGAGATCTCGGAAACCTAGTCCTCCCAAATCCTTGGGGGTACAGATCTCGTCCCATGCTATCCAATGCAAGCCTCTGCTGTTATGTTTCGAACTCCACCAAAAATTAGAGGTCGTACTCCTTAGTATATCAGTAATTCCTTGTGGAATCAAGTAACACGACATTGGGTATGTCAGAACTGCTTGAACCACCGCTTTAATCTGAACTTCTTTTCCTCCTTTCGAGAGTAATCTGGATGACCAATTATTAACTCGCCCATTAAGTCGATCTTGTACGTAGGAGAATACTTTGGTTTTCGAGCCACCAATTTGTTCAGGTAATCCAAGGTACGTTCCCATGCCTCCTTCAGTAGAGAACCCCAGTGCTGCTTTTATTTCTTGTTTCCGGGGATAGTCCACTCTGTTTCCAAAGAACATCGAAGATTTCGCTGCATTTAGTTTTTGTCCTGATGCTTTCCCATATAAGTCTATAATATCCATAATCTCGTTGCACTGGCTCACTTTCGCCTCGCAAAAGAAAAGACTATCATCAGCGAAGAGTAAATGGGAGATTCTCGGGCTCGCCTGGGCGACGCGAAGATCCACAATCTTCTTCTCTGCTTCTGCTCCATTAAGGAGTGATATCAAAGCTTCCGTGCACAAAATGAACAAAAATGGAGAGAGGGGGTCTCCCTGCCTCAGCCCCTCTTTGGTACAATATTGTTGGCCTCTTTAATCATGATCATTAGTCTTTTTTGCCCACAAGGTGTATGTGTTTGAACCAATTCTCCTAGCTTTAAGACTACCTAGTCAATGACCATTTGTATCTAGGGAGCCTTAGATAGTTATTAAACATGCTCTTAATGATTGTTTGAATTATTTATACCAATGACCATTTGTGTTTGAATAAGTTGAGTGAATGAGCATTTGTCTAGACCTAGAACTTACTTAGTTAAGTAGTTTAGACTTAAGGACACACTTTGATTGAAAGCTTGTCGCTTTTAAATTGAAACTTGATCACCTAAACCAAATACCTAATCCTATGATTCTTATCTTTACTAATTGAGAGAAAGCTTGTTACTTTGTTGCATTCTATAATTGCTATTAATCATTTTAAAGTTTTTATTCTCCAATTTATCATGGGTTCGATGTATCACTAAGACTATTTCTATAATTATAACGGCCCAAATCTCTTTTATTTATTTATTTATGGTCTACAGAATTTTTGGGCCAGGTGTGTTTGAGATTGTCAATAAATTGTTGTTTCTATAAAGATATTCAAGTACTTTTCATCTTATAGTATTGTAGACTTATATTTGATGAGTCAGAGAATTGAATAAAAACAGCAACTGAGTTCCTTAGTGTAGTAGCTGTAAGCATAGCATTTTATGTATTTTCCTCCATTTTACATTTCCATGAGATATGATATAGCTACCACACTAAGGAAATTAAACCGAGTCCAAGTGAAGTGAGAAAATTTTGTTATGGTATATATTATTATCATCGATGTGTCTAGATTCTCCACTATAAAATTAGGCTTTAACAGAATGATCAAGCTCTTGTAGAAGCACTGAAGAAGATTTAGATGCCGAAGTAAGTTGTCATACATACTCACAAGTCCCAAAACAAATAAAAGCAATTTCAAAGAGGCTAGCAGCAAACTGTTTATAGGGTCTCACAACACCACCATATATAAACGCAATCTATAAAAACGGGCCTTGGCCCAACCTAACGCCTAATTTTTTTTTTTTGTAGAAACGAAATTAGCAAGTTTCGGTTCTCACAACCAGGATCATCGTACACATAAACTTAAAACTAATTTCTAGATTGTATAAAGTTTGGATAATTTTATTACTTAAGACGTCAACCAACAATGAAGTAAAGTGATGAAATATATTCAAAAGTCTAGCATGGCTAATCCTTTCCAAGACGATACTATTCGTCCACTACTTTTTAGTAAGCATGCTTCCCCTTATAAGCCAGTATAGTATCCTTACCAAGACGATACTATTCTTCCACTACTTATAAGCCTTATACTAGATTTTAATCCGCGATTTAAAAAGCGCGGGATCGTTTTCCTTTAAAATTATATAAAGAAAAATATTTGTGAAATCTAATTTTTATCATATATTTTATATTTTTATAATACATTTATAACTGTGCTGATCGGTTGTGTGTATTTTTAAAAATGATTTTTATGTTTAGAAGTACTAATATATTTTGAGAAGGATTGAAAAAGTGGTATATTTATAATTAATAAACTTAATTATAAAGTGTTAAAATAATTTTTAAGTTTATTGTATTTACAATTTTAACTTACTATAAAATATTCTATTTGCAAATTTGATACATGTTTATGTTTTCACTATACATATTTTAATGTTTCAGGAAGCTAAAACCGTCCGGAT